TTAAATATCAATGATGAACTGCTTTTGTTACCATAAAATGTGGATACAATTTTGAATGTACATCCTGTCCAAATATCAGTTTTATTTTAAAATAAAAATTGCACTTGGCTTTATCTAATTTACACAATTTTTTTGAAAGAAAAAATTATTCAATAAGATTGGAAGAATTGGTTAAGAATTATACAACTATTTGTTTCCTAAATTTATATCCAATTTGCACAGATTTTAAATTAATTTGTATTTGGAATTATTTTCATAAATAATTGACACATTTTTTGCATAAGAATCTCCAAATTTGTTACCAAAAAAGATATGATTTAAATTTTGGTAAAAAAATAAAATATGATACGAAAAAAATGGGATTCAAATTTTGCCATAAGAATCTCCAAATTTGTTTCCTATAATTCACATGTGTTTTTTTGAACTTTCCATTAATAGTAAGTCCAACAACCTCTTTATATATACTAGTACAGTACCCATGCGATGCACGGGAGCATTTATCACCTATTTATTTTTTAAAAGGTATTTTTGTATTTAAATTGTCTCATGCCATTAAAAATTTCATGAAAATGAAATTTATATGTTATTAAACACTTCCTTATGGACAACAGTATTGATTTGATTCTTTGGCACTAAAGTACTACATATGTGTTTGAATTTATCCAAAATTGCATATTATTAGTTATTAGTTAACAAATTTAAAAAAAATAAAGGATTTTATTTATTAAATAAAATTAAAGTAGAAAAAAAAAGTAGAATTTTTTTAGGGATTTTCACCCATTATTTATTTTAAACCTAATTCTAAATTTCAAATAATAAAAATTGCAAAGAATCATTAGTTACTCCTCGAAACGAAACCGATTTTCCTACCAATAAACCGATTTTTTTATCAAACAAATTGATCCAAAATTTTTTTAAACCAAATAAAAAAATAATCAATTTTTCCTAAAAATGCAACCGATTTTTCCTAACATTGCACCCATTTTTATACCAAACAAATTGAACTGAAAATAATTCTAATAAAAAATTAAAATAAATTTTTAATGTTTATGCAACTCTCTCTTTCCTAGAGAAAATTATATGAACTTAACCAAAAAAATATGATATGAACTTACCAAAATCTCGGTAAAACATGGTTAAGAAAAAACATAAGTATTCAAAAAAATCGATGCATTTAAATTTTGAAAAGTTGCATACAATTTTTCCTAAATAATTGGATAATGTGATTTTAACTATCAATGATGAACCGCTTTTGTTACCAAAAAATGTGGACATAATTTTGAATGTACATCCCGTCCAGATATCAGTTTTATTTTAAAATAAAAATTGCACGTGGCTTTATCCAATTTACACAATTTTTTTGAAAGAAAAAAATATTCAATAAGATTGAAAACATTGGTTAAGAATTATACAACTATTTGCTTCCTAAATTTGTATCCAATTTGTACAGTTTTTAAATTAATTTGTATTTAGAATTGTTTTCATAAATAATTGACACATTTTTTGCATAAGAATCTTCAAATTTGTTACAAAAAAAGATATGATTCAAATTTTGGTAAAAAAAAGAAATATGATACAAAAAAATGGGATTCAAATTTTGCCATAAGAATCTCTAAATTTGTTACCAAAAAATAGGATTTAGATTTTGATGCTAAAGATTCACACGTGTTTTTTTGAACTTTCCATTAATAGTAAGTCAAACATTATATTTATTTTGTCAAACTTTCTATTAATGTATTTTTCCAACAACCTCTTTATATATATATAGATATAGATATAGATATACACAAATCCCACAATACTGAAAACATATTTCTCCAAACACACGTATTTTTTACTTATCGAACTGTTTTTTGTTTATTTTTTACCATCGCATCATGTTAATAGTGTATATTAAACATATATATTCAGTATATGTTACAATAATCTTCTATTATACCAAAACAACAAAAAAACAACAAACTATTGACGGCAATCAGATAAAATCATGTATATTTACAGTATATAAAACAAGTTGAAATCGTACTCATGTACATATACTAAAAATATACTGTTGACCTTAACATATACTAAAAAAATAGTATATTTGTCGGGACAATATACAGAAGATATACTCATTGTATACAGTCGACATAAAATAAAATACACAATAGATATACAAAAGATAAATCAATGTTGTCATTATATACACAATATATACAGAAGATATACAAAAAATACATTCGGCCAATCCAGCCACCGTACATCTTAGCTTGGTCGAAGCTATTTTTCCTCTGGTAAGCCGCCACCGGCAGCCACCCCACCACCTGATTCTTACTTCCCACCGCTTCTACCTTCTCCTCCTCCTCCCCGCCGCTGCTACCGGCGCTAGAGATATCAGAAAACACTCTCTTCATCTCGTTCCTCTCCACCTCGCCGCCGCCGTGGCCGCCTCTGGGAAGCCCCAGCCTCAGCTCCGTTTCAAGTTCCAAACCGCTTTTCACCATTTTTTTCCACAGATGATGAACAAAAACGAAAACGACATTTTTTCTTTTTCGTTGATTTTTTCTTTTCTATCGATCGAAATTAAATTAAAGATTTGACTTATATATATATATATATGTATGTGAATGAGAAGAAAAACAGAGCCAGATCAAAGGTGAATGAGAAGAAAAAACATAGCAAGAAGAAGAAGGAGGAGAAGAGAGAGAGAGATTGCGTGAGAGGGAAAATAAATCTCATTAAGTTTGGAAGGTGATAAGTCACCTTTAATTACAGTGACTTAATTATATGGTAATTTGCAACTAGCGCGTGGCCCGTGTGATGCACGGGAAAACAATATTACGATTGTATTATAAATTAAATATATAAATAACATTAATCATGATTTATCCATTGTATTTAAATTAAACCGGGTTGGACACAGTCCGACCGAATTGACCGAGAACCGGTTTATAACCAGTCTAGTTCTCTTGAATAAAATATTTGCTCTCGAATCCATCAACACCAATCGGTTGGACTGGTAGGATCGATACGATTTTCTAAATAAATTTTGTTATATTTAAAATTATTTTAAATAAAATTAAATATTTAAATAAAATAGCGATTTATAAATTATTTATCAATTAGTTTAAACATTTGAGTTTATAAATTTTTTAGATATCTAAGTAACACATTTTATTTAAATTTATTACAAAAAGTACTATATATATGAAAATGCTTATAAATTAAAATCTGAACAAACCACAAATGATTTAATAAAATAGCAGATCGTTTCGATGACGTTCCAGTTCTGAAAACCTTATATTTACTGTACATTAATAAATATTGTTTAATTCACATAGATATTAATAAAATGATATATAAATATTCATAAATCTTTAGACATGTTGTCATAAAAGTATTGTTAATACGATTATTTAAAGTTTGGACTATATTACATTCACGTAATAAAATTTTTTCAATATAAAATTTTTATTTAGGTTCAATAATCGATTTGGTGTGGTTGAACTGATACATAACTTCGTCACCTGGGATCAACCAAGTTGTGTCAATTTTTTTACTATTTGAAATATCACCTAAAAGTAATTCAATCAACCAGGGCAGTACCCTAATTCAATCACCCAATTGATCCAATTTTTTTTTATTTTCTTTAAATATATTTAATTTTATGAAATAAAAATATTTTATGATTTATATAATAAATGTCTACACCAAATGATAGTATATTAAGATTTAAAATTATATATCTAAAGGTTAATTAATTATTTTTACTTTATGCATATTAATAAAAAATAAACATAGTAAGTTTAAAAAAATTAAGATTAGTTGAATAATTATGCAATTTAAAGAACATTTTAGCATTCAATATTTTTTTAAAGGCACAAATATAAAAACCAAGATTCTAAAACTTTTGTTATATTTTGAATTGAGATTTTATAAATATAGAGACCGAGATTTTAATGTTGTTTGTTGTTTCTAAGAAAAAAATAAAAATAAAAACATACACATTTAATAAATCTTAGCTAAATTTTTTAAATAATAAAATGAACTAAAGCCCGAAATTTAAGGCAGCATTTAATGTTCTATGATTTTTAAAGAAAAAAATAAGAAAAATAATATAAGTTACTATTTATAGGCTGCATTAAATTCTGACCAATTTTTCTGCTACTATTTTTGGTAAATGTTAATTCTTATTATATATATA